CCCTTCCAACCCAAAGCATTCTATCATTCTATGATTCTAAGGACAGGGACCTTGCAGCCAGTGGCCACAGTCGCACAGTACCTGAACAAGAAGAGCAGAGCAGGTTTGGTGAAGGTAATCAGGTTCAGCCAGCGTCCCAGTGATCATTACAGAAGCCTGTAGTGATGAGGCGCATCCTAGGTGAGGTCTGCAAGGCGAGGTCCATGCCCAGGCACAGCATTCTTACAACATGGCTCTGACCAGACCAAGTGCAAGAAGTGTAGCTCCGTTGCTTAAAACCAGCTCTGGAGCCAATGTACTGAGGGTGCATGGGTGGAGGCCACAGATGAGGCTTCTCACAGCTCTTTTTTCATAATTTAGCTTGGTTCACAGAAGTCTGATCCAATGTTACCCACCTGCACTATATCAGTGAGACATTGAATGCAGGCAGCAAGACTTGGGCAGTGGAGGAAGAGGTTGCAGAGGAGGATTTCAGGGGAAGGGTGCTTACAGGCAGTTGGACAGGGCAATTAGAGTCTTTTGGTGTACTTGGGGTAGTGACAAGTTATCCTAGAGTTGAGAACTCCATTATGCATCACAGTGAAAGATTTCTGGCTCTTGCTTCACAACATATGAGCATTAATGGTTTTCATACTCGGGGACTTTCTCATCAAAGAACTATAAAACCTGAAAGAATTAGGAGCGGTTTATCATGTGCCCTTTTCTGTTGTTGGAGACAAAGATGAAAAGAATTGGACATAATTTTCCTTATCTCATATGACTATAGAGGAAGGAGTTTACCCTGGTTTATAGGAAAGATTGGTGTTGTTTTTTTATTACAAAGTACTGAGATGGCTTCTGGTGATTGTATGGAGAGCTTGAGAAAACGGTATCGAGAAATTCTTCATGTATGTGCAGTCGTATTACAATTACAAGATTTTAAATGCTTAAAAAAGCAAATAACTTGAACATGCAGTTGAAAGAAATGGTGTTCCTACAGATTAATATAAATACACTGCATAAAATGCTAGTTTAGTCATAATGCGTTCTGAAAGGAAGGAAAACTTCTAGAATATTGTAATTTTCCAGCTTTTAAAGAATTGTCTGCTTACTTTTAAGCTCTGCAATGATGTGTATTTTACAAGGAATGCTAACATTTAATAGCTTTTATTTAAAAACAAGCAAACAACAAAACCAAAACACTGGCCTTTGTTTTCCTGTTAACAGCAGGCAAAGCTGCAGCAGCAAATGGATCTACAAAAGAATCACATCTTCCGCCTAACTCAAGGTCTGCAAGAGGCTCTAGATCGAGCAGATCTTCTGAAGACTGAAAGAAGTGACCTGGAATATCAGCTGGAAAACATTCAGGTGAGGCTGAGGAAACAGTGGGCAGGACTCTGTGCTCCCCATCCTAAAACCCCACTCCCTGTGGGGTTTTTGGATGTGATCTACTGTTTCTGTGTGACACTTTGCTTATACTATTTTTTAGCTCTGTTCTGCTATTGAGTTATCTGTTTGTTTCTTTTAGTAAGATGAAATTTCTTATATGTGTGTGTGGTTCACAGGTTCTCTACTCCCATGAAAAAGTGAAAATGGAGGGCACTATTTCTCAGCAAACCAAACTCATTGATTTCCTGCAGGCAAAGATGGACCAACCAGCGAAAAAGAAAAAGGTGGGTGAAAAAGGTTTGAGAGGCATGGAATGAAATGATGGTTTTGTGATTAGTTACGTGCTGTGTATTCATAATATTCTGTTTTATCTTTCTTTGTGTAACACAAATGTGTCCTCATTTAAGAGCATTCTTAGTTGCTGAACACAAAATTTACTAGACAGAATGTATTCTTTGTGGCTTTTCCAGTATTTTATTATTCCTATAATACTTAGGTTACAACCCAGTAGCTAGTCCTCAGGGAGTCTGTAGGAATGCAGAATTTTAACCATGCTTTTTTTTTTTTTTTAATGGTAGGTATGCATGTGTGTATGAACATATTGTATATCTAGAGTGGTTGTCTTGTAGTTACAGCATAGGATTGATTAGTCAGGCGATGTGACTTGTGTCACATCTTTGTCATAAGCCATTCTGTCATTTTGAATTAAGTAATTTAATTTTAACCACGTATTTTGAGATCCTCTGTTTAGATGCTTTCGGAAACTCAAGGTGTGAGTACTGACAGGTAATGTACGTCCCTCTTTAATCCATATCTCAACATTTTCTCTCCAGTGCCAATATGAACTAGAAATCCATCCTTACACATATCAGAATTACCATTAGGCCCTCTGGCCGGGCTGCCACTAGCTAGTTTCACTTTGCCTAGTTTAAGCCATCTCTTACTAGGAGTTAGGAGTTGTCTGTGTGTTTCTGTTGCTAGGGCCTGTTTAGTCGGCGGAAAGAGGACCCTTCTTTACCCACACAGGTTCCCCTGCAATACAATGAGCTGAAAGTGGCACTGGAGAAGGAGAAGGCTCGTTCTGCTGAGCTGGAGGAGGCTCTACAGAAAACACGCATTGAACTCAGATCTGCTCGTGAAGAAGGTAGGGGTTAACAGAAAAGGTGAATCTGGAAGGAGACACGCGTTTTTGGTCTGAAAACGTGCCTTTAATTGTGTGCCACTGTAGCAGTAACATATGTTATTTAATTCTTATCTACTGCTGTGAGGATGCAATAAAGCTACACTTTTTTCTGCGGGTTGTAACCACTGAATGGTTACACAGAACCACTGCTATGAACTAGTATTTCATACTGGTTATGTTAATGAGTGGCATTTATCTCATCTATAGCTGCTCATCGGAAAATATCAGACCACCCTCATCCATCTACTCCAGCCACAGCCAGGCAGCAAATCATCATGTCTGCCATAGTCCGCTCACCAGAGCATCAGCCTACACCGATCAGTTTGCTAGCTCCACCCTCCAGTCGCAGGAAGGAATCTTCCACACCAGAGGGTAGGTTCTTGGTGAACTTTTCTGTTACTGTTTTTCTGTTTACTATTTCAACTCTCTCTCTCTCTTTTTTTTTTTTTTTTTTTTCTTCCCCCAAACCAGATCTTTTTTCATGATAGGAATATTAGATGATAAGTTTTGCTTTTGGCTTAAAATTCTCTATTTGGATTATATAATTTATTTCTGAAAACTTCAGCAATAAAGTAATTATTAGCATGAATTGTTTTAAGAGCATATTTTTTCAAAGGAGTATGTTTTCTGTACTACTTTCTGCATTGATCAAAAGGATTTACGGCTGTTTCCTTAGCAGTTAACATTTTCACTTGTCTAAACTGCAGATTTGTTCTGCTGAGCAGAACTTTTGGCAAAGGGAAAAGACTTACATTAGGCATAAAAGGAAGATACCAGATCAAAGATGACATTAATATCATGTTAACTAGAAAGAGAAGATCCCTTCCATATCCTTAAGAATGGAGGGGAGAAGATCATTAGAAAAAATTAAAGGATTGAGGGCTCTGCTCATTTATTCTTAGTTAATCAGCATTCCAGAGTGAGTGTTGAACCCAGAGACTGAACTAAAACCTCCAGCCTTTAGCTGGAAAAAGCCAGAACCCACAAATTGGTCCAGCCATCACAGATAGCTGGGCAGGCACAGGGTGCTGAGGATGTAACAGTAACACTGGATGGGAACTGGATGTAACACTGGCATGGGAAGATGTCCTCAGAGGCAGATCATGGGCAGGGAAGAGAATCATGTTCATCAGTAAAAGAGCATGCCATGAAGGATAAACGTTGCTCAATATAGATCCACTAACAGGGATTTTGGGTATGCTTTAAGATATGCTGGCACTGATAGTTAGCATGAAGGCTGTATGAAGAAGGCCTGCTGTGTATTGATTACAACAGTATAGGTGTTGAAGGGTTTGTTAGCTATAAGCAAAATTGAGAGATTAGTTTAGCACATCGTAGGAATTGGAGCTGAGTGTAGACTTGAAATTTAGGTGGTTTGATTGACATAATCTTGCTACACCAAACATTAGCCTTTTCAGTTATACAGTCTGTTCTCAAGTGGCACATTCTGTGCATCTGTATAAGGTAATTACTGAGGTGGTAATGTAGCTGAAGATTTGTAGATTGCAAAGAAAAACAGTGTCTGTGTTCAGCAG